GATAAACACTTCTGAAGTTATCATGGGATTGCAAGATATTTATGCTTTATGGTCTTTACATTTGGCTACTAAGCAACAGACCGATGATTCAAGTGGCTATAAATGCGTACACTCATATTAGTGATGTGCAGAGTATGCAATGTACTGTGTATTCAAATATCTAAATATGAATAAAAGTTGCCCAAATGTAATTTATCTTTGTACGGTACAGAACTCTGCTGAGCTAATTTGTTTACTGATGCAGGGTTGGCTATTCATGATGTTTTCCGATTTGGAAAAGCCACTTCCTTTCGGCTGCTGAGAAAAATGCCACAAGGTGAGGTCTGAAGCATTGTGTGTGGAAAGGAATTGGAAAAAAATAGCCCATGGCACAGTAATGAGACAGGATCTCATGGGAAGGGGCTGAAAATCTGCATAGGCCTTTAGCTGTGGGCTTTTGCGAGAGGAAGGATAAAACATAAAAGCTACAGTCGGGGGTATGAAGGGTATGCCTGTCTGTCTGTCTGTCTGTCTGTCTTTCTGTCTGTCTGTCTGTCTATTTGCTGCAACTGAGTCTTACAGAAATGTAGAGCCCTTCAGTATTACATTGTAATAAATTCCTAGAATTTCACAACATGTTGCTGTAATTTTTTTACAGTAAATTACATTAGTGTCACTTTGATTTAACTGTTTAATTTTACGTATTTAGAATTTTATTGAGAAATTGAGGGTGGCATAATGATTACAGCACATTACTGTAAAAATTGTGATATTCTTTGCAGGTTAATTATAAGAATTCATACACTAATAATATTTTATTTAACGTTGAAAATAATACACATTAACTTTTATGCTAGTACAGGCAATTTTTAAAAAAATATTTAGAAATATTTACAGAATTATTGTTATTATGAAATACCTCCCAGTAATTTACTGTGAATTTACATACAGTACCTTACTGGGAAAGTAATGCAATTATGAACCAGTACTTTACTGTAAATTTAAGGTCAAATATTTTAAAGTGTAGCAATTCTATTTTTATCCCAAGATTATATTTTAACTATTCTGTATTACACTGTTTATGTTTTTATGTGTTTTATTGGTTGAAAAAAAATAATAAAAACTCATGTACTTAAAACATTTTTTTTATTTTGTATATAATATTTTGCACATACAGATGCGGTCACTGAGAATGTGCATTTCTTCACGCGTAGTGCTGCAATTTGTCATGCACAATCACATGCTGTGCTGCAACAGCAAAAGCCGCCTTCATTAAAAATAAATAAATAAAAATATGTGCGTTACGCAATATCCCCCAGGTGGTGTAAGGAACAACCACTTTTCCATCGCCTCCAAATTAGCCAACTAAGTACTATAATAAATAAATATATGTATATAGGTAAAGAAAAAACATAGCTACTTGTCAGTTTAAGATATTCTATAAACACTTTATAGACTAGGGTTCTTTTTTGTTTAAGATCGTCCTTATGTTTCCCTTTTAAATGTAAAAGTGTAGCATTGTAGCAAAGTCATTTTAATTTAAAAATGGATATTTCCTTGCTGTGTCCTTCTTGAAGTTTCAATTAGGCACTATAATCTTCACACAACATTGAAGACACAGCAGCAGGGCACCTCATTTCACCGATTCTCCTCCTCACATGCACCCCAGCCCCGCTCTTTACTTTCATCCGCGACACAACCTACCCTGTCCCCAAAATCTGTTATTTTACATTTTTTTACGTTGCATCTGTTATAAAATGTAAAATAACTAATAATTAAATTACGGAAATTTACTGTAAAATAACACATTAAATTACATACATTTATCAGAAATTTTAATTTAAGGAATTTTTTGTCATTTAATGTGCGCTATTTTTCGGCAAATTTCTGTAGTTTAATGTCCGTTATTTTACAATACATTTCTGTAATTTAATGTTTGTTATTTTACGGTAAATTTCTGTAATTTAATGTCTGTTATATTACAGTAAGTTTCTGTAATTTTACTGTCGTTATTTTAGCTTTTTAACAGACGTAAAAAAATGTAAAATAACAAAATTTTTTACAGTGTAGATAAAATAGCTTAGATGACATCAGGGCATCACAGTGGCACAGAGGGTAGCACAATCACCTTATAGCAAGAAGTTACACAGTTCGAGGCCCAGCTGGGTTAAGTGGCATTTCTGTGTGGAGTTTGCATGTCCCCCCCTAGTTTGTGTGGGTTTTCTCTAGATGCTCCGGTTTCCCCCACAGTCCAAAGACATGTGCTATAGGTAAATTGAATAAGCTAAATAGAATTGTGTAAGTGTGTGTGTGAAGAAGTGTGTATGGCTGTTTGCCAGTGTTGGGTTGCAGCTGGAAGGGCATTTGCTGCGTAAAACATATGCTGGATAAGTTGGCAGTTCATTCCGCTGTGACAACCCCTGATTATTTAAGGGACTAAGCCAAAAAAAAAAATGAATGAATGAATGAATGAATGACAAACTTGGAATATAGTAAAAATGTATTGTCTATAATAATCTGTATTGACTGAGTTGAATGATTGATTGTGCTATGCAGCAGATGCTTACTGTTAAAATGAACCATGTAAGAAAAATTTTAATTATTCCTGAAAACGTGAAATCTTACCAAGTTTCAAAACTTTTTTCATTTGAATAATACACTTAGATTTCACACAACATGGAGATCAAAGAGGGATTGATGTGAGAATAAAAAGCACCAAGCACCCCCTACTATGCATTTTATAAACTGACCAACCATTAAGCTGTCTAAACCACCAGTGAGCATTAAGGCAGCCCTGAAAAATCAACAGACTTTTTTCTGCCTCATAGAAAAGCAGAGCTTTGGAAGATCTGCTCTTACAGCATCTTTACACCGACAAACTACAGCTGTCACGAAGATCAGCATGTTCTCTTCTGTCCGCTGTGCAAATCAACACTTGCATATGATCCGCTTTTGCCAGTAATTGTATCTCTATGTAAACCCACAATATATCTGCAGCTTGCTGTGGATTATATGCTATGCAGAAACACCTCTTTATAAGCAAATTCAAGCATATGCCTCACAAGGGACTAGTGGGGATGTCAAGTTTGCCCGTGCTCAGCATACATCAGAACATAAGAGAGCTGCTATTTACTTAAAGGCAAAAAAGCCAGAGAGAAAGAACTGAAGGCGTTCTCAGCCAGACCCACCGAGGGTCACATCTGAGAGTTAATCTATATGATTAGCCGAGGGCCCTTCATGACGGCCTCATTTGCTGCCTGCCTAAAATGATACATAAACGCCCTTCGTAGAGCACAAGAGTAGATTACAGATTTGTGATTATTATCTGATCTACGTCAGTAATCACAGCTTTTCAGTATTAGAATAAAGAGAAAAAAATGCTCATTTCTAAGATAAATATCGCAATAAGTGTGGTTGATTACACCCATTTACAGAATCAATGCTTTAAAATCAAATACACAGAGTAAAACTTTAACCATTGTATGCTTAAATAGTTGCATTTATAATTAATACAAACAAGTTAGTTTGTTTATCAGTTTACTTATAGACCAGTGACTATGGCAACATGGATTTGTTTATGAAGTCATAATTTGAATGTCTTTTACCAGAGTCCCTTTAAGACATATCACTCAGTGACCACAAACCACCTGTAGGACACACTCCTCCTGCCCTAATATACCTGACATTTTGTTAGAAATACTCATGTGCTTTACATGTTTGTTTGTATGTTTGCTTATATAACTACTATTTTCATTTATAGCACTTCATTTTTGCATCTTGTGTTTAAATACACTATGAACAGCACCTACGCTAATTATGCTCAATTATTTTTATTTATTTCCAACTGGAGATACTCATCCCGAGGCCTTTAGAACAGGGGAGGGCAAACTCGGTCCTGAAGGGCCGGTGTCCTGCATATTTTAGCTGCAACACGTATCGAACACACCTGAACATGCTAATCAGTTTCTTCAAGATCACTAGAAATCTATAAGCAGGTGTGTGTGATAAGAGTTGGAGCTAAACTGTGCAGGACAGCTGCCCTCCAGGACCAAGTTTGCCTACCCCTACTCTACAGATTATGCAGCACTATTGATGTTATCCAAGACCTTTGAGGAAATGATGCAAGGTATCCATGATCCTGGACCAGGCTGTATCCTGAGCTAATGATGTGGCGGTCATGGATAAGGGGAGAGCATGAGACTTATTCCTGAAAGACCCCAGTGACAGATTAGTCTTTTTATTGATCTGGAAGGCCAGCCTGAACACCTGCCAGTGACCTACTCATACCTACAGCTTCTCCATAAAGAAATGTCCAGCGTTTCCAGCCTCTTGTACCTAGACTGCAGCTCCGCACAGAAAGCTTGGCCAGAGGAGAAATGGCCATGTCCAACTCAGCCTGGTTTCCTTCAAGGTTCTTTTCCTTCACTTTTGTCAATTGGTGAAATTTGTTCCCTGCTTCTGTCGCCACTGGCTTGCTTGGTTTGGGACTTGTGGAGCTGCGCATTGATGGATTTCCTCTTTAGTGAACTTTTTCAGCAGTGAAATTTAAACCACACTGAACTGAACTTAACTTTAACTCTGAAAACTGGACTGACACAGTGTAATGATTGGTCTGACAGAGAGGGATCCATATGCAGTTCGTTTATTAGACAGGGAATAAACAATAGACAATCGGCAGTAAGTGTTATACTCAAGTGAATGAGGAGAATAAACAATGTCGAGGGCAGGCAGCGAGCGTTCTACATCGGTAAGTGGGCAGAGGGCGGCTCTGGCAGCAGAGGTTCAAATCCAGAGAAAGGGCGGTAATCAGGGCAGACAGCGAGACAAGACGAGAGTAAGTAAACAGTCCGGTGGCAAAGAAAGATCAGTCAGAAGGCAGGATAAATGCTTAGTAATGTATGCGGGGCAAAACAAGACTTCACATTGGGTGTTGTGTAAATGCTGCTTTTATGTGAGTGTGTGAATTGAGATCAGGTGCAGAGAAATCAGCGTCAGATACGAGGATTCTGGGTGATGGAGTTCTAAAAGGCAGGTGAGAGTGACCTCTGCTGGTCCATGAGGGGAATGGCTGGGGCCGAGTCGCTGCCGCAGTAACAATTTGCTAGATCTTTTATATCAAGCTGCTTTGACACAATCTACATTGCAAAAGCGCTTTAGAAATAAAAATGAATTGAATTTAATTGAATCAGCGGCCATCTTTAAAACGCCTCTCGGGCAATGTGATAGGGCATTCTGTTTGAATGGGAAAGCATTACATTCTCCAAAATTGCTTGCCAAGCTTATGATTAAATTTCATAATAGGAATCAGAAATACATTTAAACAAAAACCGTCTCATTTGTAAACGTTTGAGTCGCACGAAATCTGTAGAAATTCATGTCTTGTCTGAGCCCCTCCCTCAGAAAATCTTCAATCTACAGATTGGGGCCATTAAGAATGTGCGTTTTAACTGCGGCTCACCTCATTTCATTCTGTGGTCAGCCGCAGCATGCTGTCAAACTCCTTGGAATTGAAATAAATGTGTTGTGCTTCACAGAACATCCACCAGGTGGCACATCGAACAACAAACTCCACTGTACAGAATACATCCCAACCTTGTTTTAAAATATGCAGGTTTACATTTTTACCATTATTTTGATTATGTATTTATTTTATATTTAAGATAGATAAACTTTAGGATATATGTATTTTATAAATACTTTCTAAAACTTAAATCAAAACTTACTATTATAAATAAAAAAGAAAATTAAAGCGCACTAAGATGCAGATTGAGGGTTGTGGTAGCCTCTAGTTAACTTGTGTTTGTTTCGAAGACTGTAAATCTTTACCTTATCTCTGTGTTTCTCAGCATACAGTACTGTACGTGCCTCGATTTCATTTCTCGCAGCCACTCAACACGCATTCTGGATGACGATTAAACGGACAGTGCTCCGCTGTCATGAACAGAGGTGGTCACTGCATGATTCATGCCAGTCAGTAACAGGTAGTTTATATTATTTAATTATTAGTTACAATCCTAATCTATATTAAGTATTTTCATATCTTTGGTTTTATTTATACAATTTACTTCAGTATGTCAATAAAATTAGTCCCATTTTGCGTTACAGATCTATTTTAAATAATGTAGAAAGTGATTCCAAAATAAAAGTAGAATGAAAAATAAATATTATGTTAATCCACCATATTTTATTTTAGTGATCAATGATTGGCTCTTGTACTAGAAAACAGGACTTCCTTCGCCATATTGACCGTAACACTGTTCCCCATTCAAAACTGTACGAGTGACATGTGTATTCTATAGTCTTTGTAAATAATTTATGAATAATAATCTTAGTGAGCAGACCACTAAATTAAAGCAAAAGATCCCCCTTTTCCCAACAGTAAAACAATGCCAAAAAGAGCATCACATTTTTTTCTCAAATGATCTTTGCTCACTCTGAAACATTCATTGGCCGTTAGTTCTGAACAAGACATTAAAATGCACCAAGTAGTGTTGAACTCTACACCTCTGAGTGCCTTCACAAAATCTAAATAGACAGTGTGTGCGTGAAACTAATTTTGTAGAGGCGGTGATAGTTCTCTGTTTAATTTCACCAGCTCGCTCTATCTCCTTGGCTTGAAGGTAATAACAGACTTCAGAGAGAAGTATAAAAACAAAATAAAAACAGTGGTTTTTAAAATTGCTTAAATAGATACTCTTGACTGACCAATTTGTGGTGGAGAAAAATTGGAGCCAGCTGTCGTGGTGAATGAAGAAAGCTCTTCATTATTGTAATTGTGAGTCACTCTGACAAAGAGAGCCAAAATCTCCCAGTGGGTGGGATAGATATTCATGCAAATGCTTCACATCAGTTAGAAATGCTTACTGAATGTCAAACTAACAGCCCTGTAAAGATCAGGTCTCTCATTTAGTCTTTGAATCAGATGATCTTTTTTGTGCCATTTGTCCAATTGAAAGTTCTTTTTTCTTTTTTTCTTTTTTAGCTGTAACTGAAAAAAAATCACAATTGTAAGCTTAAAATGTTGATTCATTATCTAATTTGTCATTCTTAATCAAACACTTTTGCAAAACATGCTTTTTACGATTATGAATGGACAAAAAAAAAAGAAAGAACTGGGCGTTCTGTTTCTGGGGCAGTACTGTTATTTAATAATTTAATAAGACCTTTTAAAGGTACTGTCATAGTGACAAGCTATTTTTGCACATATTTTAGAGGTTTTGTCTACTTTTTTCAAACTGTACATTTGTACACCTGTACATTTTTTGTTCAGATATCTCAGAAATCTGTCAATTTTTTAACAACATCTCAACAGTAATTTTAACACTCAACAACAATTTACACAGTATGATACACCTCTAACATCCCCTCTAGACATGCTTGTGGGTTTATGCTTATAAATTCTTTTCATGGGGGATTTAGGGTGCTTTCACACCTGTGGATAGATTATTTAGCTTCGAAACTAAAAAACAAGTCACCTGCGAGTAAACTCTCCTCACATTGGTCAGAATTTCCGCTCAGCCCTCATCTGTTCTTTTTTTAATTTATGATGATGAGCAATAAGACAATATAAGCGAAACCTGTGCTTTCATTTTAATGGGTTACACCCACAGACATCGTCACCAGATATAAATCAGAGGTAAGATTTTCTCATACATAGCAAATGGCTTATGCATTATAGGCTTTACATAACAGTGAGAAATAACAGATAAAGACCACTGTTCGGTCAATTTTCCTAACGGATAAACAGCTCTCGTTAATAGTTTACATGTTTTCACTTTCGTATTTGACATGAAACGCACATTTACCAGCAGAAATGACATCCTGTCCTACTCATAATTCTCTTTTCAAATAACCGTATGTATGCATATTACATATACATAACACACTGTGATATAGCCTGGTTCAGATCGTATTGCTTTCTCACTACAATCAATCTGCTCCAAAGTTCGTTTTGATCGAGCCAAGACCACCTCATTCAGGGAATCTCGAACTGACTGTTTTGGCGCGGATCCAAGTGAGATTGCTTGATTTACATATGCCATACAAACCGGGCATTGGGGAAAAGCTCCAGGTTCTGAAACAAAAGTTTTGGTGTGAAAGCACCCTAAGATCACAACTTCTGGAATTACTTCTAATGAGTCGCCTAGTAATATTAATTCCATGTGAATAAAGCTTAAGTGAAAGAACAAAGAGAAGATGTGAATGATCCGAAGCGTCAAAGAGACTCATGCTTATATATTTATCTATCCACCGTAAATGGTGCTTAAAACTGACAGAACATTGGTCAGTGAATTTTAGCATGTTACATTGAAGTCAACCGCTAAAAAACAATGAAAACTTACATATCTGTATTGCAAACCACACTTTCGCCATGTGCCTGATTAACTTTCCTCTTAGCAGCTAGGATAAATGTGTTGGCTGAGTGTCATTGTCCAGAAATAAAAAACTCTGCATATTGCTCAAAGAAAGCATGGCTTGAGGACAACTGTCCATTGAAAAATTTAGTTTTGGAAGGGCATGTCCCCCGCATCTCCAACCACATCATCCTACACCCTTGTGAGTATTTGTGCATTAAATGAACCAGCCATATTTCTCAGTCAGATCCATATACTTCTTTTATGGTATTAAAACTCAACTGGGAACAGAACAGGGTAACAAGAGACCAGCGGGTGTTACCATCATTAAATCTAGGTGTGAACAGTGTAGGCAGTCCGTAAGTAAGAAGAATTGAACATGAGCTCTCGTGATGTTGAGTGTATCACTCTCTGCTCATCTACTGTGAAAACTAATTAAATCACCTGTTTCTCGATCAATGAACTCTCTCTAAAGCACAGCCTGAGACTAGAAATGGCTCACAATAGCAATTTGAGCTTCAAATTGTTTTTGGGTAGACCAACTCAATCTAGCCTTGTCAAAGAGAACACTTGGGGACTTTATTTTTAGGTAAAGTTTGGTGATTTTATATGCATGGGATAAACTCTTTTGGTGTAAAATAGATTTTTGCGGGAAGTAAAATAAAACAATTAACATTTTGATAAATTTGATTGGTTAAAATGAAAAACAAATTCGAAGACCATTCCTTGGATTTACAAATTTTTTTTAAGTGGTTGTAAACAATGTATTTAGGCTGAATTTTAACAAACAAATTAAGTTAAATATTTTTACACTTAATTTGTTTAAATTCAACACAAATAAATTTCTTTCAACAGTTTTGCAGACATTTATTTTCAGTGTAGGTATCATGAGCTATCAATGACAAATACAAAAACTATATATTTATTGAACATCGTTAATTTTTATTACTACATTTATTGTTTAAATATAGCTAAATATGAAATAACAATAAATATGTTTTTATTTGCTGGAGTTTAATTAAATATGTTATAGATGTAATTTTGATTGTTAGTTAACTAATGTCTGTTATATCTTTAGCTTATATCTGTGTTAATGCAATAATTAATGTTAACTAATTTTTTTATTCTAGTGTCACCTCAACATATGTTTTTAAATACATGCAAAAATGTAGTTTCAGAATAGAATCAATTCTGCATTGATTCTGAGTTTTTCAAACACATTTTTGAAACCACAACCGTTTTTAACCACAGATGATGCTTTAGTAGTAGGCTAGTTTTTAACCATACTGTCAAATGCCCACAAGAAAGAACGTTAGTGTGTTCAGCAGAGTCAGCTAATGTAAATCACTCACTGTGAAGGGTTATAATTCACTTGAATGAGAGATTAAAAGAATAGTGATGGATTTAGAAAATTTCTGAATTATTGCTAATATTTAATGTTTTGCCAAAATATCTTGCATGTTGTATATGGTGTGGATTAAAGGCTGATTTATAGTTCTGCATCAAGGCGTAGATGTTCTGGCACAGCCTTCAGACATACCCTTCACCGTGGCTGATGTTGATGCTGGCATGGTTCAAATTTCAACTACATGCCATAAAAACACGAATCGCAAGCAAGTCCCATGGAGGATCTCTAAATAAATACTTTGTTTTGTGTTTTTGCACATCCGCTCGTTCCTGCCTTTGAATGAGCGAGTTTGAGCTACTTGTACAGCAAGTTAGCATTACAGGTGTAAACAAAACACCAGTGAAGAAACTCGACACAGAGAAACACAGAAACC